AATAGGAGGAGGAAGGAGTATTAGGTATGTTTGCCACCTTCAGTTATTTATAAAAATAAAGGTGGGATTTAAAAAAAATCTAAAGGGGGGGGAGATTCTGTTGTTATAGCCAATCTCAATAAAAGTAGTTCTAACCTTCATGTAGAGTTGATTTCCTGGTCTGGTCTACCTAGTGGGCTGGTATCAGTCTTGCAAGCCTGATTGTGCTGTACCTCTTCCTCCTTATACTTCAGTGAATTAGGTGGTATCTGCCTGAGCTGCTTCTGAATGTTATCTCATTGTTCTGGACTTAAAAAAATGTTTTAGCCCCTTTTCCCTAGGTAACAGTTTCTCATATTTCCATCAAGGTCATCTTCCTTACTCCTTACAATGGTCCCCTTCCTGACCATATTGGGTTAAAGTGTATAACAGGAAGGAATCAGCCCTCCCCTCCCCTCCCCCCTCCAATCCCTTGGGACACAGACTTATCTCACAAGAATAAGTAAAATCAAACTTTACTAAAAGGAACAAGGTTTAAATATTAACATGGAAATACACAGTGATGTTACAGAAGAACGGCTGCTCATTTACAAAAGAAAATACAAGACTACAACTGCTACAAATGAGATTTCTTTGACCCAAAATCCCTATAAAGAGATCAGAACTTTTTAATTTTCAACATTACAAGGAGATATTAAAAGAAAAACAAGTATGGTCTGGAATAAGTATAATCAAGGCTTTTTTTTTTTTTTTTAAGTTCCCTACTTCGCATAAAAATGAAAGAACCCTGGACTTATCACAATTAAAAGAAATTTAAAAATCTAACATAAATTGCTGGTTAGACTCATTACCTGTTTCTACAAAAATCAGACTCTTTAAATTGATGTTCCCTCTGCTTTTCAATATGCCTGGATGTCCCCACAGAATTCTGGAGTTTCCAGCTATGAAGCAAAAGCTGTTTGGGGAGATGATGTACCTCACATGCTTTCCAGCCTCCACCCAGCAACTTCTGCCCTCTTTTAAAAGGAACAAAAACGAATTTCTTATCTCTAGGAGTAGGAGGGGCTGGGGGATCTCTTTAGGTAGCAAATTGTATCTCTCCCTCATGAGAATGTTGATTCTGAGTCTGCAGTTTGCCTGATAGGATATTAGAAATTTCTGAATCCTATATTTAAAATAATAAGACAGCAAAAAGCAAAACAAAATATCTTCAAAGCCAATATTATTCTAGGTATAAGCGTAACATCTTATTTGAGCTGCTGAACATGACTCCCAATATCTTAATGTCCGCATCCATGTAATTTTCTTGGCAACAATGCAGAAGTGGGCTTTGCCCCTGCTGTCTTTCAGAGTGTTTTTTAAACTTCCCAAACTAGTGGTCTGGTGGTCTCAAATTTAATAATACCATTGAGCTTTTCAAGACTAATAATCAAGGCCAGCTTGGTGATGCAAGCTGAGATTGTATATTAGATGGCTACCTACGAAAGATGCTGATTTAAATCAGGAATTCTATATTTGAGGTCATTTTTAGCTCTACAGTTCTCCAATCTATGGTCTTAAATCCATTACCTATGACTGGAAATTTGTTTCCTGCTCTTTTGAAGCTATCATAATTTTGCCTTATTTAAAGTTGGTATTGAGAGAATTAGATGCACCCTTAGTAGTTAAAGTGTTAAA